TAATTTATAAATAGATTACATAAATTTAGAGAATGATTTAATTTATTAGGTAATCAGCGCGTACAATATCGGTGGCAGGTTGGTATTCACTTTCTTAATTATTATTATTATTATTATTATTATTATTATTATTATTATTATTATGGTGATCATCCTAGAATATCAACCTTGTGAACCACTTTCAATTCAATTCAATTCTTTATTAATATTCTGCTTTTAAAAATAATGAATATGCGTGGTGACTAAGACCAGAGAGCTGGAACTATGAATAATAATGAACTGTTTTTACATTGATGAACTATGAATAATAATGAACTGTTTTTACATTGATTAATTAGGCCTATGTAATATACTTTTCTTATATTTAATTAAAGCAGCTACTAAAATGCCATAGGCCCTATCTGTATATAGGCCTAGGCATGAGAAGAAAAAACATACCGTAATCAGCTTGCTGCAATATTGATAGTTTCAGACTTATTAAAATGCAGCAACATGCTCATTCAACTTTAGAAATATTAAAAAACATCATAACTAAACAAAACAAAACATTTGTATCGTCATAACATTTTGTAATAGGCCTACAATTAAAAAAAAAATGCCGTAGGCCTATGCTCGTTCAAAAACCACGATCAAACAATAACCAATCACTCAAAACAACAGGAAATTGTATAAAATATTGATTGATATGCATGTGTGATAAAAAAAAAAAAGAAGAGAAAAAATGAATTGAAGAGGTTTATTTTTAATTTTAAAAATGCTTTTAATACTAACAGGCCGGGTTTACGTTCGTTTTAGGATTAAATATATTGGTGTATACATCTCGCATCCTCGAACAATCATCACATCTAAGACGTCATAAAATAGGAACCGATCTATAGCATGCATTATCTGTGAATAACGATCAAGATAATTTCAATCGAATATACGGTACAGTATTAATGGAAATTTGTAATGTACTATAGCACAGCTACATACAATAAAATATAAGTTCTGTCTGGTTTTGTAATAGCAAAACCACATTAGATAAGATAGAGAATATTCAATATCTTATGACAAAGTCAATATTGAAATACCCAATATATGTCGCCAAAGAAACACTTTATGGGGAATTAAGATGGAGAAAATCAATATCAACACATAATATTAAAATTTGTAATGTACTATGCCACAGGTACATACAATAAATTATACAAGTTCTGTCTGGTTTTGTAATAGCAAAACCACATTAGATAAGATAAGAGAATATTTAATATCTTATGACAAAGACTATATTGAAATACCCAATATATGTCGCCAAAGAGACACTTTATGGGGAATTAAGATGGAGAGAATCAATAGGGTAGGCCTATATTAAACGTTTAAAAAATTTGGAAATATGAAATATGAATGGTAACAAGATAACTTTTTTAAAGCGATTATGAATAATGAAGGCACACTAAAATGGTGTTGTCTCTCACATTTAAAAAACTAAGAAAGAAATGGTCTGGAGGCCTTACCGGTATATAATTGTGAACCAGCTATTGGCTAGTCCAAACGGTTTAAGATTAACCACATAAATAACGAAGAGAAAGATTGGCTTATCAGGGCCTTACAGAAATTTGGTCAAATTGTAATGTACGGTACTACAGACAATATTTAACAAAACCATGGCGACTTCGGTCCGAAATTATACACCACGCAATAGTACCCTTTTTGTAAATGTTGGGACCTCTTGTAGTGCATCACATTACATGCAGTACACAGTATATTTTGATTATTTTTCATGTGTAAATAAGGTCCCTTTATAAGAAAATCCAGTGGCGGATTCAAGGGGGGGGGGGGTCCGAGGGGGGTCCGAGCTTCCTTAAATCTTTCGAAGTTATACAAAAAAGTGGAACAAAATAGAGAATTACTGTATATTAAAATGCAAGTCTGAAAGTGCAATTTCCTGCCATCTAGAGGTACCATAATCATACGTTTTCTTAACTCAGCCCCAACCATGGCGGGGCTGAGGTGGTATTGGCCCTCAATATCTTCTGGGCTTCTTCTACTTCGAATTCCTGGATCCGCCACTGTAACCACAAGTGATCCTTTGTTGTGATTACTGTTCTTAGTTGTGATTTCAATGCACTTTTTTTTAATGTGCTTTTATTGTCTTTTTAAATAGTTTTATATACGGTATTGTCTAAAAGTCTCTCATTAGTAGTAGAATAAGTAGTGTTTTTATGAAAATTTTGTGTATTTTAGTACTTGTAAATTTTTATATTCTTATTTATTTTAATGTATATTGTAAATCACATGCAATTCAGTGTTAATTTCACTGTCATTTGTGATCCAAATAAAATGAAATCAATGAAATGAGGACCGTTGTGGCGACGTTATGAAACGTTAAGAATTTTTTCTCTCTTTCTTTGTTACATTAAGTTCTCTCATATTCCAATCTAATTACAGTACTGTATTTGATTTTGTTAAGATTTTCATTTTGTATTTTTGGATGCACCACTCGGAAACGAGCGATTGCCACTGATACAAAAGTGATTCCTAATACATATTGAAATTAATGACTGCAGTGCCGTGCCACAAGTGTTAGCAACCTGTTGAATAAATACATTTGTAAATAGGCCAGAAATTACCAAGTTCAGTAATGCAAGTGTTGGCTCCAGGCCATGAAACCAAGAACATAGATACTGGGGCGGATTCAGACGGTGCGATCGCACCCTACTAAATTGTATTAAGAAAAATAATTGTATTGTACGGCTGATATGAATTACCGATAAGATTTTTAAGATACTAGATTGCAATTTAAGTCCATATATTCTGAAAATTTTCTCACCTCATGACATTTAGTGCTCATGCTTTAAAAGCCTCAAATTTTGTCCTGCAAATTTTAGTTTCCTATTTCAGATATGTTTTAGGCCTAAAAATTACCTAATTATAAATTTTTCCATCTTAAAATATATGTATAAGCAGAGCGGAGAAAAACAATGTGGCAAGTTCGCAAATAATTCGCCAAGCTGAGGATTGTGTTAGTAAGAGGCCTCTGACATACAATCATTGAAGAATGAACACATTAACATTTTGGTAGCCATAGAATAAGAATATTTTGAGTCGGTTTATAACAGACTGTGCTATCACAATCTGGTTTATAAGTAAAGTAAATTTATTGTGTTACTTTCCTTCTTAAAACTAGAACCATTTTCAATGAAGCATATGCACACATTACACCCTTCAGGATCAGGTTGCCAATTTTTAACTCCGATGAGGAGCTCGTAGAAACACTCGGCTGATTAATAGATAAGATCTTTTTTTAGCTCTACTGCCTCTATTATAATAATAATAATAATATACCCAAATATTTATATAGCGCCAATTCCAAGAAATGATTAAAAGGCACTGAGCATTATTACCCCTGGACAGTGGATAACAATAACATACAATGACAAAGTGGAACAACGTGCAACCTTCTCTTCTCCCTGGGGAGTACACTGCCCTCATGAGGGTGATTGATTAATAGTTGATTTATTAATAGATATTTTTTAGATCTACTGCCTCTCTTATACTAGTATACCCTTGAGGCTGATTGATTAATAGTTGATTAATAGATCTTTTTTAGGTCTACTGCCTCTATTATAATGCTCTTATCGTAGCTTTCAAGATTACAAAAACTCGTTTTATAGACTGTAGCCTAAGGCAGAATTAAGAACTTGGTCAAGGGTGAGTGTGTATGTGGTAGATACATCCATGATACTGTACCACTCACATTGCATTTTATGCTTCTTAAAAGAACTCTTCAAAAGTATTATTAAATTTCTTATTATTTAATTGAGATTTCAATGTGAGTTTGCATCATGAAAACATCATAGGAGTGATATTTTGGCCTGACGAGTTATTGTACTGAATAATCAGTACGTCCCGAATACTTACGAAAAAAAATTGGCAAGTGATTTGGGTGGGAATCGAACCCACCACCTCCAGATAGCTAGCCTAGCAATATAACATCACTCCTATTTAATTGTGGTTACAGAGCACAACAGTTGTGTCATCACAACACCAGGTGGCGCCCTTTGTTGTCAACCAGACATTGGTTACCATTCATTACGCCTGAATGACTTCATAATCTTAATGGTTTAGAATAGGCTTTCTCGAATAGGCATTTTAAAACCTAATAATTTACCAAAAGCTCACATTATATTAGTTATCGAACACACATTTAATTATCAATTAAAATTTACAAAGAAAAACTAAGATACAGCATCTTAATAATTACGTTATAAATTGGGATCAATGGTTTGTTAGTGGAGAAAATGGTGTCCGGTTGAATGCATTTTGTGTTGCCGATAGCAACAGAGAAGTATCGCATGGTATTGTAAAGCAACACTGTAGTACTCTGTATTTCAGTTTTATTATTTTTCAGACTAACCAATCTACAGTATTTAAATAATTACGTATTTACTATTGGCTACTCAGCTGCCGTTCATGCTGTTTCCCATTTACTAGCAAACCCTTTAAAAGGGCATTTTGGCGGGTTGGTGAACCAGGTTTTGCCAGAATCTTATCTCAATAATCCAATTAAACATCAAAGAAGAATACCTCTACTTAAGAGTCATTATCACAGCAGGCATTGCTATTTGTCAATAAATTACCTGTGTAGTATTTAAAAACCAGACTGGAAAAAAGCTGTTGTTCATAAATGGTAGGCATTTTTATTACCTTAGTTGTAATTTAAGATAAAAACATAATACGGTAGCTATGTTTTTGAATTTTAAAAATTAACGACTTACGTTAGAAGTTACAACATAGTTTTTAATTTAATTGTGCTAGTCTTTCTACAAACTGTTCACAACTAATATACAGTAGCTTCACTGTTAATCTTCTTACAAAATTCGCTGAAGAATAGAGATAAGAAGAGATCGACAAAACCTGCTTCAAAAAATTGAAAATTTGGTACATGGGGAAGTCTCCTCATGGATACAGTTAGATCCAATAAACTGTCACAGTAGAGATACATGTATTAACAGCAATTAAAATTCAAAGATAATATTATTATTTATTGTTTTTAAATGAATGTAATTATAATCAAGTTAAAACAATTGATATCACAATGATTTCAGCATTCTATATTCAACACTTTAGTTGACATTAAAAGGCAGTTGTTTTTCCATCACTCAATTCAATTATCAATTTCATTCCTAAGTATCTTCATCTCTTTTTCTGATGGATTTTCTCTGTTTGTTTTTCCTAAACATGATTTTTTCTTCACCCTCTTGTTTATTTTTTCCTTTGGTTAATGGATCTTCTTCATCCGAAGCGTCTAGATATTTTAAGTCAAGCTGGACATGAATTGACGGCATCGACTCTGCTTTTGGTTTTCTGTCTGTTTTTGCCTTCAATTTTTTGGGCGCCCCTACTACACACTCCTCCATTCGAAACACATTTCCATACATTTTTGGATTAGTTTTTCCAGTATCATTAACTTCTTTTGCAAGTGGTTTTGAGAAGGTGATTTTATCATCTAGATTTGCAACAACATTTGTTGTAGAGTCTGTGTTTCGAGCACGCTGTTCTGCAAGGAACTGGAAAGCAATTTTTTTATTCTGACTTTCACTTCCAATGTCAGTGTCTTCTAAAGAGTACTTTGTCCATTTGGCAGGATTACTGTAGTCTTGTTGCCTGCTTCTCCTTTTATTATTCCATGTGGAATGCTTGTCTTTATTGTACTCTGAGTCTCTATATTGACTTTCATTGTTTGACCATTCTTTTCTGTCTCCGCTGAATCGATCTCTTCCTCTGGTTGTCTTTGATGGCATGGTCTTCGGAACCCTAAAGGAAGCAGAACCATCTACATCACGATGTTCCCCTTTATTATCCTCATCATCATCCGTTGAGAATCTTTTAACCAAGTCATTTTTGTACTTGGTCTCAAGTGATTCAAGTTGCTGGAAGATGTCTTTCTGTTTGGTGTTGAATCCTCCATCGCTTCCTTTCAAATGGAAGCAATCTAATTGACCTGCCATCCTTCATCCAGGTTCCTTTGTGTCTGGAGAATCCTTGAGAAAAAGAGAAACAAAGGTAAATTGAGTTTATTGAGCACTGGAAACACTAATTATAAATGAGAAAGGGACTGGTAAAATATTCCAGTAATTATTCATTGTGAGGGCAGTGTATTTAAACAGATGGTTATAGTGTAAGTGAAAATGTATTACAAAGTAACAGTCAATAGACAACTTTAGTCAATATATAATTTGAATGCATACCAGTGCATCAATGCTAGGACATCAAGATACAGTATTCTTTTTTTATCTAGAACAATAATCAATTCCTGCCAACCCTTGAGCAATTTAAATCCACAATTCAATTTAAATGCGAGTAATCACAAGCAAACACATATCTGCACCCAATGGCATCATGGATCATTGATTATCCTTTGCCATGTACAACAATGAAGATGAAGATGCTTGCAGTGCTTGAACCAGAATCTACAATGTCTGCATATTAACTTTTGAAATCTTTGTTGAGCAATAATTTTACCATGTAGCCATGCATGGGCCAGCTGCCCCCCCCCCCACCACTTTCTTTGAATCCTCTACAGATCTTCAGCGGTTATTAACTTTTATTAACACATATAATTTTATAACTTCACATACAGTGATACCCATCGGCACTGACAACCATGAGGGGGAGGGGACTTTGCAAATGTAGGGTAGGCATACTGTACCACCTCAGCCCCACTATGGTTGGGATTGAGGTAAGAAAATTTATTATTATTCGACCTCTAGATGGCCGGAAATGACACTCTCATCTCCTTTTTTTCAATTTTTTTTTATAATTTGGAAAAATTTCGGGTTAATGACTTTTGTTAACACATTAATTTTATCACTGCACACACAATGATACACATTGGGAAAATTGATAATAAAATATTGAAAATATGCAAATTTGCGGGAGATCGGTTATTTACGGGAGGTTCTTGCTTGCTTGTTGCAGGAGTGCGGAAGGAAGGTCATCCTGATTGCCAGGAGACTCCTGTGAGACTTGGGACCCCTGTAGTTTGTAGTAGTAATAGTACTAGGCCTAGCCTAGTAGTAGTAGTAGTAGGGCCTACTCTACCTATCCCCGGCGGGCCGCCTAGCTAGTGTACTAGCCTACCATATACTATTCTAGTAGTAGTAGGCCTACCTACTACTACTAGGCCTAGGCCCTAGGCCTAGTCCTAGCCTAGCTAGGCTGTGAACGACGACGCATGCATGCTACTGTTCTGTAGCCTAGGCCTGTCTGTTTTTAAAATTCTGTCACAATGTCACATTTCATAGCACATACTTTAGTTTGTATTCTAGTTAATGGTCCCAATATTTAATTAGATACCTACAATTATTAACAATAATTGAATATTTAAACAGCACTCAGGCCTCGGTCGGCTGCTTGAGATGCAGCAAAAACAACACGCAGATATGTGAGCGCCCTCTGGAGTAAGGAATCGCGACATCATCACAACTCAGCATGTCATCATCGGCTCGAATTTCAAGACGAAGTAAAGGTATTGTTTCGCTCCTTGAAATATTCATCTAATTCTGTATATTAATCAAAGGTATGCTTTCTTTTACACAGTTTTATTCCATTAAAAGCGCTACCCGCTTTAGTGGAATCATTTTTGAAAGTGATAATTTAGATTTCACTTCACAAACAAGTGTGCGCCAGGCTGTGTTTTGTCACTGTCACTGTGTGTCATCCTTCTTGTGTGTAGATAGTCTTTATCATAGTTTGCTTAATAGAGAAAATAGAATGCTCAATCAGAAATGCATTCTCAGTGTGCAATCCAATACCCAGGGATGAATTCCCAGGCCAGGTACGCTTTAGTAAGTTTTGTAGGCCTAGCCCCCCCCCCACCCAAATCATATTTCATTATCTTTAAAAAATTTTTAATGTAGTCCTACATAGTTCTGGTAAGTTTAAGATTATGAAGTCAAATGTTATTTCATTATTTTCTATAAGAAATTGTTGAACAAGTGTACCGTAACATAGGGTTATGGGCAGTCATGTAGGATACAGACGTTCTAACCTCTGCAATGCAAAATTTGGGAGACTAGGTGTGCTGGTGAAGTGCACCCCACCTCCGAAATGGGCATTCCATTCTGCTTTTGAGGTGTCGGTAACACTCGTGGAAACCTTTGTACATGCCCACATCATTGATAAATATTGGCGCACATAGGAAAAACATTTACAGAAATACTTGGTATTTTGGTATTTTCAAGTTTGAGTTTTATTTGTCATACAAATGGTTCTTAATAGGTGCAAATAATAATTAAAAAGTAAATCATTTGATAAATTGTTAGTGAATAACAGTTAAACTTGCCTAAGTTGACTGTGCCTAAGTCGAATAATTTCTAAAGTTGATTAATTTCTAAAGTTGATCTTATTTTACAAGCCAAATTGTTGTGTTTTCCATTAATTAACAATCTGTAAGTCGAATTTTATCTAAGTCAAACAATATTTCAATGGCATTTTGGAGACAATAGGCAAGATCAACTGTACATAAACAACAACAAATAGTAGTTGTACCTGGATATAAGCGAATTCTTAATTTAGACGTAGGTAAAAAGTCAAGGTGGTTTTCAGTGGCACTTGCCACCTGCTAATTTTTTCCTAAGATGTTTCTTCAAGGGTGGATTTTTTTTCTTCTCGCTCGGCTATTTTACCCCGGCTGTATTCACCAGTATTTTTCCTCCTAGTTCTCTCACTGATTTTTTTTTCATCAGTTTATAAGTTCATTATACAGTAGGCAGAACATACAGTATTTGTTTTTATTTCTTATTTTTTTTCATTGTATAAATTAATTATTGTTTTTTTGTCGTAAGGTTCCACACAGGTGTGCCGATGATAAAAAAAGCGTTATCCAATCAATTTATTGACTCTTGACGCATTCGAAATACTGATAAAGTCTAATAGTTCCGGGTTCACATAAGAAATAGAGGAAAGACAACAGGAAATCTTGTGTTAACATAATTGCTCTTCACACCTATTTCCTAGTTTGTTCTTTATCATATTTGACTGCATCAGCTTAAATTCCGGCAAGGATTGACAATATTATTTCAGTTAAGGAGCAACAAAAGGAAGGACGCAGTGATATTATTACCATGTCTGATCTTCTACAGTTCTTTTGCTCACAGTACCCTTTAAAATTATTTTCTTCTGCTATTATTTCGCCTACATTACGCCTAAAATTTTATGTTGCGGTTGTTGGTAGCATTCAGTCCCATTTTATTAAATGTATTAATTAAATTAATGTTATTGAACAATAGAGGAATATGTTTTGTACTTCATCCGTGGTTTAGTTATCAGTATTACCGTACCATTATGTTAACTTACCATTTTATAAATTATGCGGATAACATGTTAAAACAATTTTTTATATACTAACGTTTAATACGCTGAATGCTTATTATTTTTTAATTTTGTGACAAAGACAACAATGTTGTAAACAGAATATAATGTGTATTCTTTACTGAAAGTTAAGGAATTTATATGATTTCACTAATATCAGCCCATGAGGGAATTTCATGTTGGCAATCGGCAAATTGCCATCCATATTCGACAATTTTTTGCCGACCTAGGTCTAGATTTTTTGGTTTCAAAAACTGCTTGGAAAGTCAAAACTTTGACTGAAACAGGCTATAGCAGAAACTGAATTTCACATACGTCGTCAAACTAATAAATAGGCATCGTGCAATGTGTTTACAGTCATCTTTCTCCCCTACGCTGTAGCTAGGAATAGTCCTTTCGTAGGCTAGTAGGATTGAAGCTAGCCAGCCAAGGCCTAAAACATTGCCTAATTGAAGCAACTTGGGCTGCGTAGATCGTAATACTTATCTAAATTTTTTATTTTCTTCATTGTACAGTATTATTATCATATATTTAAAATGTTGTTTATTAAAAAACAACCATATTGTAGGCCTAATCTTACCGTCCGTTTAAACACAAACATGATCGCATCGTGACTTCACTACTGTCAAGTAGTGTACATGTGAGAAAAAATCCCAGATAGGTCGTTCTGGGCATACGCATGGACATGCACGGGCAGTTTTGAAGCACAGACGGCCTACTGTATGATGATACAATCGTAGCTTTTATAAAAGTGATACAAAACTGGTATTTCCCATGCTAAAGATAATGCTAAAACGAATGCTGACACGACATTGCTTCGGCAATTTTCTTATGTAAAACATATACTACACTATTAAAATTATACAAGTACAACCATTCTTTTACCAATAATTTATTGATTTAATTGAGATAATTAACACAATCAAGATCTTTAGATGACGATGTAAAGTCGAGAGCATACGGAAAAATTGTAGCATATACTATTAGCCTAGGTAGTAAAAAATTGCTGAGACTGCTGACTGTGGAGAATTTAACGTCGGCAAATTTTTGCCGACCTAATATTTTTCAAATTTCATGGGCTGCTAATATTGTAGAGAGCACAATGTAAAGTAGAACTTGAAATTAATAATCAAATATCGAGTTGCTTCATGACTCTGATATTATCTTTTGCCCGTGAGCTCAACTAAAAAAAAAAAAAATATTTGGCTCAAATTGATTAAGGAATTATCCATACAGTATCGAATACAATACAGGAAATATGCTTTCCCTGTACAATGAATAAAAAAAAATACTAAAATATAAGATACAGTTGTACACAAGAATATTTTGGGATTATTCTGAATTTGAAGAAATGTGAGAGACTGGGAGATTTCATGAGAAATTGGGAGACTCCTGATCGAATAAAAAGTTTAAAATAAAATGTATCTCATGCAACTTCTTGTTGAATATCATAATTATATCCTTTTTCTGTGATACTGCCCTCTAGCAAGACAATAGACACAGAGCTGAAGTTTCCAAAATAAAAATAGATTACAATTAATTTGAATTTTGAAGACTGTAGACATATGCTCCCAAGCCTAAAATTTATTTTATATTTATTTCTATATTTTTATATTTTATTGTAATGCCTGGTGAATCATGTTAAAGATTGTAAATTATGATAATATACACCATTTTCATCAAATTTGAAATGAAAATTTTTCGAGAACCTGGCAACTACCACTGGGCAACTTACATGCCTAGCATTTCACTGTACATCTTCATGGATTAATTAAATAACTAACGAGCACAAATGTTTTAAAACGTAAAATGAACGAAATGTTGATATTAAAAACAAGTAAGTCTTTAAACAGTAAAAAAGCTATTTCAATATTTACATACAAATCGTATCTGATTTCTGCTGCTGCTATAGCAAAGGTCGAGCGGCACTATCCCCTGTGCAGTGCTCTATTTGTAAACTCGCTGGCTGCTCAAGCTAGGCCGCTGGAAATCGCCCAAGTGAAAAGTTGCGAGATTAGTGGCGCTGTTTTAATATAAGCCCGATAAAATGGTGTATACATTACATATGAGATCATTGACACCATGTATATAAAAATCATTTTAATTTTCCAAACTTGTTCTCAAGAAAGTGGCACTAACTATGTGACAAGCTAATTGTGTACGTATGCGCAATTTGGTTTGATTGTTGTTTCATTCTCTATTTACAGAGACATCATCCACCAGCTAATTTTATTAATATTGTCCATACATTACTTTAACGTTTAATTGGTACTGTATTCAGGGGTGGATTGGGGGCAGGGAAGCATGCTTGGATGACTTAGAATGAATGTTTATTGCCACCCCCCCTCCCACCCCAGTCAAAAAGATTGGGAGCTCTCTAGGTTAAGACTTGGAGCTAGACCTAGCTACTGGATTAGAGCAAAAAGTATAGATATGGAAGAGAGCGTTGTCCTGTTTGTAAATACGTCACTGCCCTATTTACGATGGAAGTCGTCATCGTTAACATAAGTTAAGTTTAGTAATTTTTAAGTTGCAAGTGAATAAATAAATTAAACCAAAAACCTGGAGTGCGGCCAATGTGTATTGAGTTTACAGGAAGTGCGCCCTCTGCAGTGGTATGATGATAAAAAATAAAGTAAATCTACTGCCATCTACAAAAGTATTTGTATCATGTGAAAAAACAAATAACCACAGAAACAATCTGTGTGCGGTAGTAGTAGGTAATAAAGGGCATAAAGACAGCAGTAGGCGTCTTCCTCTGGCTGCGTGTAGGATGTAATTATGCCATCGTTTCAATCATGTTGCCAATATTATCCAATAATGACAATGAATTGACATGATAATCTTAATAACAATCACATAAAAGTGATATGTTTGTTTAGCTTTTGTGTTTTTAGTACATTTTGATGGGAAACAATTAGATTTTAAAATGCCTATTCCAGAAAGCCTATGAAGTCATTCAGGCGTAATGAACGGTAACTAACGTCGGTTGACGACAGAGAGTGCCACCTGGCGTCGTGACGACACGACTTTGGTACTCTCTTTTAACTGAAAATGTCTTCTTCAAGAAAGTATTTAATTATTT